ATATATATATATATATATATATATATATATATATATATATATATATGTATATATATATATATATATATATATATATATATATATATATATATATATATATATATATATATATATATATATATATATATATATATATATATATGTTATATATATATATATATATATATATATATATATATATATATATATATATATATATATATATATATATATATATATATATATATATATATATATATGTTTTAAACGTCTTCGCTTCCATAAAGGCTGCGAGCAACCACTAACTAGTATTGGAAGTTACTGGAAGAGAAAAAATGAAGGTTGTAGAGCAAAATAACGATTGACAGACAACTTAAAAGATTGCAAATTATATGAATCAGGAAAGCAAGATGAAGGAAGCGAATTTCAAAGAAATGATGTTCAATAGAAAAAACTAAAAGATTAAGAGTTTTTGGAGCACTTAGAAACAGAGGCAGAAAAAGAATGAGACTTAATTGAATGACGAGAATGAATTTTAGTAGATGGCACAAGAGACGCTAGCTCTTTAGAGCAGTACCCGTTATAGTATTTGTAGAAAAGAGAAAGAGATGCAACATTACAACGATGTGGTAATGGTTGAAGGTTGGCTGCATAAAAAGCCGGTCTAACTATATTTACAATGCGTTTTTGCACTTTGTCCAAAAAAGAAAGGACATCATTAGAAGATCCGCCCCAGATATGGCAACAGTATTCCATACAAGGCCGGATTTGAGGCTAATAGAGATAGAGAATAGAATCCAGAGTAAGAAAGTGTCAAGCTCGATGAAGAAATGCAACTTTAGCAGATACTAGTTTTACAACGGATTTGATATATGGTTTCCAAGAAAGATCAGTAGAAGAGTTAATCCTAGAAGATGAAGGGTAGATGACTCATCATATATATATATATATATATATATATATATATATATATATATATATATATAATATATATATATATATATATATATATATATATATATATATATATATGATGAGTCATCTACCCTCCATCTTCTAGGATTAACTCTTCTACTGATCTTTCTATATATATATATATATATATATATATATATATATATATATATATATATGTTTATATATAACTATTAATATAATTTAACCAATAAAATGAAAAGTGTATGTCAAGCAAAATAACAATTTCAGAAAAATTTTTTTATATTTCTAAAAAGATATTTAACAAAATACTACAAAATATATTTAACACTTGAGGCCTTTCAATGTTGATCAGTAGTGCTAGTTTAAGTGCTGTTATGCAAAAAAACAAAAAAAAAAACATAACAAAAAAAAAAAACATAATTGGCGCATTGTCATAACTTTAAGCCCTACAATTAGTACTTTCTAACGTTTTTGCGATCATTTGAGCAATTTCAGTACTAATTTTGTCACTACAATCTACAAATTTGAAAAATCGTTTCACAATATCATGTTGCGATTCGTGACAAACTTGGTAACGTAAAATAAATGTTGTTTGCTCAACATGTGATAAATTTGTATTAGAATCTACAATTATTGCGTTGTACTTTGCCAAATGACTTTCTTCCAAAACGTAGCGCTTAACATCATTAGAACACTCTGCAATAAACTCATTTTGGGAATGATTTGAGAGGTAATGTACTTGCAATCTTTAACCATTTTTTAGTAACTCAGCTAACTTTAGAACGTGTTCCTTTAGAATAGAATCAGACCTAAAACATTTTTATTATTTGAGTCACAAACTCGTTGCGAAGATCCCTGTAAAGCAAGGCTATGTTCTCCTGAGAAAAGGATAACACCAATAATTCTACTTAAAATTTGGTATCATTTTTCCGATTCCACTTTAATTGATGATTTAATAAAATTATGATTACCGTCTTGCATTGAAAGGCTTTATTCTAATTCATGCCATTATCTATGCTAATCATGCTAATTCATGCCATTATCTATGCTCATTACTCTTTTCATGATCTGGTATCATGTTACATTAATTCCGTCAATTGAAACTCGCTGGCTAGCCTTTATCTGTACTTGACGCAGATTTGGAAGTAATACATAGCAGGGAACAGACATGAAACTTTGTTATAATTAAAAAATATATATATATATTCATCATGGGCCCCTAAACTCTTATGGACCCTGGTGCGGCGCACCGACTGCACCTACCTCTCATAGGGCCTGTATACGCGTAAAATTTAAAATCAAAATCTTATTATAATTATGGAATTATAGTGTGGACCACTATGTTTTGGTTTGTTTAGTCAAAAGACAGTGTTGTTTGTGCAAATGAAAATCTATCAAGACTTGAAAAAACTTTGAGGCTTAAAGTTTTTTCTTTATCAACAAACATAAAAAATATATTTTTTCTTATTAAATGTTATTTATGGTTATTCTCTTCTTTATCTTTTTTTTTTACTAAGAGCCTATATTTTGAAAGTCCTTTTAGGGTTTGCATTACGCATTATGGCTATGTTTTTTTTCTTGTTATTTAGATGCTCCAAGAAGACCTAACGATCTTGTTAGAAAGCACCACGGAAGTGCATTCAACCAGGAAGTTCACGCTTCCTTCCTTACCGTGATGCAAAAATATGTCCAGAGCTCGTTTCGAACCTGGATCTCCTGCTTATAAAGCAAGCGCTATAACCACTGAGCCACAGCTGCATTATATCTAACTAGGGTAAAAAAATTCACGCCAAAGGTAGCATTTTCTACCATATTTTGCAACGCGGATTTAAGATATGACTTTATTACTTTAATATTTTGATTTTCTGTATTAAGGTGAGTTTCCACTCATCCGTTTTTTCATGGGAACGTGAAAGGGAAGAGAAACTAAAATAACGCGGGCATGCGTAGTATAAGTTTAAATATGTCGAGAGAAAAACTGCGCATGCTCGCGTGATTATTTTTCCCTTCCCTATCTCGTTTTCGTAAAAAAACGGATGAGTAGAAAGTCATTTTTAGAGTAGAATAACGTACCCTTTTTAAACTTTTTTTTTAAGTGTATAGTATCCATAGTTGTACGAATTTTAGTGGGAGGGTTACCACGCTAAATAACAGTGGATTACCTCCCTACTTATTTTATTAAATTTTCAGTTTTTTGTTCTTATTACACACGAAATTATAAACATATTTAATTAGATATTTTTTTTTTATTTCCGATATATATATATATATATATATATATATATATATATATATATATATATATATATATATATATATATATATATATATATATATATATATATATATATATATATATATATATATATATAAACTAGGCAGCGAAAGTGAGCACTTAAAGCTAGGGCACAGAATGTGAGAAAGCTAAGACAATCTGGTAAGCCGTGTAAAAATAGAAAGAAGTTGTTCCGTGCAAGTCTGTAACCAAAAAGAAAGACTGTTAAATTCCAGTAAATTTGAAAGCACACAAACTATCACTGATGAAAAACAAACTTTTATATTTGCTGATTTTTGGTCTGTGGACGACGTACAAATGAGACGTTTCTACAGCCGAACCACTAAACGACTTCAAAAGAAACATCATCAAACTATTAAAGAAACAGTCATTTACGTCAGTTTTTGATATGTTACCAAAAAATAAGAGTAATTTAGCAAAAGTTTTGAACCAGGGATTTCTAGTATACAAGAGGTTAACAATATCTATAGTCAAATTGATAGAGCACTCGCTCCTGTTGAAATATTTAGTCCTATTGGTTTAATCAGAGCAATTCCTGCTCTTTAAAAAAATAAATTATTTTTGTGTCTACTAAATGAAATAATTGGATTTCAAACATTTTTCAGCTACTGCAGGCTATTTTAATTTTAAGCTTGTTCTCATGTTCAAAAGCATGAACTAAGCCTCTAACTCTTGTTCTCTATATCCAGATGAAGCATCTGGCATTCAAATTATGTATAGTCCAGAAAGATGTTTGATGTTTGTTCAAAAGCATGAACTAAGCCTCTAACAATCTACGATCTTTGACATCTGTGGTAACAGGACCACTGGCAGTTGTTCTAATGTCTTCCGCCTTAAATCAGTGTGCTCAAATTTCAAATGGTAAAGCCAATGTCTTTCAAAGTATGTTTAAGTATATGCCTGTTGTAGACGTTGCATTTTATAAGAGTATTTAAAAATAATTTATTTCATTGTCAAAATGTTTATATTTTAAATGTCATGTTGTTAAATGAGCTTTTATGTAATTTGTTTGCTAGTAAAAAAAAAATATATTTTGTTAAAAATAAAACAGAGATGTACTTTGCAGTACTTTAGTTGCCATAATATACATTTATCTTGCCACGATATATTTGTAAAAAATACTAGTTTGTATTATGTTGTTTTTAACAGAAAATGGAAATAGAACAAAATAATATTGTATTTTATATAAAAAGTGTGTATATCTTCAAATCATGGTGTTTAGACACTTACATTTTAAAATTTTAAAAACAATTTTATTTAAACAGTGGTACTTGTATGGGAAATTAATACATATCGGTTTTGTTTGCGTTTTTTAAGTTATTTGTTCTGCAGGTCCATTTAAAACTTTGAACTTGATTTTCTCAGTTCGGTACAACGTGGAGTTGAAAAAAAAAATAGTTCTAACCTCGCGTAATGGCATTTGCTAATGACTGTCAACTAATAATGCAACTGTAGGTGAAAATAATAATTTAAAAAGTTATTAATAATAAACAAATAACTTAGATGTTTTATTTATTTATTTATTTAACTCCTAACATGCGTTATGTAAGAAGAGTTAGAAAATGTTTATTCCAATACAGCACCGCCCGATAACAAGCAAATGAAAAATTTTTCATTTTGTTCCAGTTATCGTTGATCAAAATTTTTGATGCTTAATGTTTCATAAAATTTTTGTTTTCGTTAAATTTTTAAATAGAAAATGAAAACTTAATTAGAAACAAAACGACTTTAAAATTTTTTTTTTAAAACTTAAAAAAGCAACCGTGGTTAGAGTTCTGGCTCAGAACTTAGAGGTCCATTGCAACATTGGTAAAAAAGAAGGCGTGAACATCCCAGTTAAATGCTTTTCCGCGGTGCTCTGTGATAAGACCGTGAGGACTTTTGGGAGCACCTTAACAACTACAAAATAAAAAATAGAAAATGAAAACTAAACTGAAGATTTAAAAAAAAAAAAAAAAGCAATAAAAAAAAACCAAAAAACAAAACGAACTTCAATATTCTATTACTAAAGATACTGTCTTTCTGTATAAATATAAACATCAATTTACAACATTTTTATTACCGTTTATTTACAAAATAATCCATGTGTTCGATAACGTGCGGTAACTGTAAGTAAAAATAAAATAATCTACATTTCAATTCTTTATAAATTAAGTCTTTCACCATACAATTTTTAAAACATCATACACCTTTATGTTAAAATTTGCTTAACATTTGTATTAAACCTTATATTAACATGTTTAACATATTCATCGTCACGTATGTATATTAAAATCTTATTCAGCTATTTTTCATGTTACCTGCTGCATTATAATAATCACGGAGGTAATAAAATAAATGTTATCATTTACTATTTAAATTGTCTTCATCTACTAATATTTAAACTTATTTTTACTTTTTATATATTAGCTGCATTGAGTTTGTTGAATTTGTAGCAATCGATGCAGTACTTGAGTTTCTTTCATTTCCTAAAGGAATTTCTAAATAATCCTCGTCTAATGGTTCAAGGGGAGTTTGATCTAAGCTGCGGAAGTACGTAAAATTGTTTACTATAACGGGAACAGGAAAAGCCAGCGTAAGAACGCCAACCAATACACACATAGATCCGACAATTTTACCACCTAAAATAAAAAATATCATAAAAATTTCACCATTCATATAAATAAAGTAAAAACTGATAATAATCATAAAAATCATAATGATCAATTCATTATTCAAGAGACAAAATGGCAGAACCCAGTTTTTTTCTTCAGTGGGAAATTAAAAAACATAATGAAAAAAGTGGTGGTGCTAAAAAGAGTTTTTTAAAACGTTTTATTTATTATTTATTTAATAACTAATCTTTAATGATATAAACACTATCAATGTCAATGATCTCTTGCCAACGCAAAGGCAAAGAATAAAACGCTTTTTCAAGATTTTTACTTTACGGTGTAGTTTATATAGATTAATCAAAATTGTTTATCACAGGTGATGACATGGTCAAGCCAGTTAATTAAATGTGCGGTGCAAAAACAAGAGGTCCGTGCACGGTGCCCCATTGCTAACCAAACTAATTAGCATTTAATTAGTGTGGTATCTAAACACCGAGGATGAAAGTTTTTTCCTATTTTGTGTAAGTGGTATTTTACAGTATCATAAACGCAAATTTATAGGATCATAAACGTTAATTTTAGATTGCATTTTGTTAGCCACTTAAAATGCTCAAAATCCAGTGAACTTCCTCTTTAAATGCTCTATCGCGGTGCTCTGTCATGAGACCGTTAGGACTTCTGGGAAAATCAATATCAAGTCTCCAACACAAGGTTAACCTTGTGAATATCTAATTTGTTGAAATAACAGTTTGAAGATGAAAGAAAAACATCCTTTGAAGGACACCTCAAAGCTTTCTACTACACAAGTTGATAGAAGACGTTCTACTTGTCTCTCACTGATTAGTAAAAAGAATGCCACACAATTGTTTGTAAAAAAAAAACAAAAACAAAAAATAAACTCCATTTATTTATTGTCATAAAGTAACTTCATTATTCATTCACTATACAGTGACTGCAACATTTAGAGAAAACACGAGAGAGTTGGAAACTAGAAATTTAAAAGTTGCTGAACAAAATGCTTGCTCTGCAATTATTAGATTAAATAATTAAATAATTAAAGAATCTTCTCCATTCTTAACTGTAAGACTAACATATGCAACAAATGACATATGTAATTTGTGCAATGCGCACGCAAGTAAGCGGACATGTTTTTTTTATCGGCTGAAAAAAGTTTAATCTTTAAATAAATTTTTATAACAACTTTATTTAATTAATTTAATTACAAAAAAAAACAACAACGACATAATAGTTTGATAAATATGACAGTCACAATCGCTGAAATTTAAAAAATGATAAAAGAAATGTTTCTAGAATATAAAAAGACACTCCAGCAATGTTTTCAGAACATAAAAAATAAGTTGGCATGTATATTGAAACAGCAAGAACAAATTGCTATCGCCATTTTAAGTGCAAACACCAAGATATTCAATGAAAGACTAGAATAATTAAACAAAAAAATAATGATAATTTTAACGAAACAAAGTTATTAGTTAATAATGGAGAAGATATTAAGTTGAGCTTGAATTTTCACGAGGAGCTGTTTGATAAAAAAAAATTGCCAGTATCAAAAAACCAGAAAACAAACGATCAAGAAAAGAAACATTTTGTGAAAATATCAAGGAAAAACACAAAATATCTAAACATAGATCCAGAAGGAAAATTTACTGGAATAGATTTAGTATCTTACTATCCAAAGAAGATTCAATTAATGACCAAATTTGAAGAGAATGTTAAGGTTGCGCTAACAAAATAAGATTCTCTCTTAAACACATCAAAAATATTTACTAATTAATACTTTTTTAATCGCAAACCAAATAACAAAAATTGTAAAAGATAGAACAAAAAACATAAAGTGAAAAAAGTAGAACAATAGAAAACATGAAACGACGGACGAAACTATGGTTGCTATAGTTATAGACAAAACTAAAATAGTTATAACTGATGACTTAAATGAAATTGAAAGATGATGCTGAGTAAATGAAGGATGATACTAAAGAAAAAAGCAGTAACACGGACAAAACAGACGAATGACTTAAAACTGACGATAAAATTTGCTTCAAACCACCAAATGCTCTAAAATACCTAGATCGTCTGATCTTTATGAATCAAAGAGGACTGTAATTTTTTAGAGCTTTATTTGTTGAATAAAAAGACATTTTTATTCAACAATCCTTTTTTTTTCTATAACTAATTGAATAAAAGTAATTCTTAATATTTGACTTTTTTTTTTATTTCTTTTGGTTTTTATATTTGCTAACAACAATCATTTTTATTTTTAAACCATAGTTACGGAGTAAAAAATCAAAAATTTAAAATATTGCAACAACAAAATATTCAAAATAATTTTACCAATAATATTGTTCTGACGAATAAAGATTTATTTATTTATATTCCTAATATAATTTACTTGTTTTGAGTAAGTTTTGAAATTTCGAAGTTTTGAACCTTTAACACGGAACGCTAAAGGTAGAAAAGGTCTCTCATGGACCATCTCAGATTTTGCTGAAACGTTTTGATTTTGTACATATATATTTAAAAAAGCATTTATTGAAAAATTTAGATCAGTGTCTAATATGGTTCTTGAATATGGTATGGTTTGAAAAAACTCTATTTAAATAGTGTACTATTTTGCAATGAAGTTCTACTCAACAAATAAAAAGGTTTTAATAACATTTGAAAAAGTTGGTTTTATACTTCAACTATTTTAACATAGCAAGTTGCTATAGATACTTTTAAAAAAAAATTGACATTTTAGTTTTTTCCATAATGGCGAGGCAAAGTTAATATTTTTGTTTTAAATTTAAAATTTTTAGTGATTTCAAAGAACTTAATCTCAAAAATTAATACAAATCAAATGTTGATCTAATCGTGGTTGATAAATGTTAAATAAATGAGTAATGAGTCGGATTAAGATTTTTTTAAATTTGATCCCCGATGCAAAACATCTGTTACCTAAGATGGCTAAATAAAAGATACCTAATTTTATATAGCTAATTAACGCTCTTTTATCTTATACTGATAATTAACATTCGATTGATACTTATACGCATCAATCAAAAAGTGTTACTTAATAAAAACCAAAATCATTAATGAGCACTTTATTTATAACTCTTAAAGGTAAATTTTACAAAATGCTTTTTTTTTTTGAAAAAAATTGTTTCATTGAATTTTATAATACTGATATGGCTATCTAAAAATTACTAATAAAACTAAATAAGTTGTTGTTTTTTAGTAGTAATTAATAACGAGTAGTACACTTGAGCTCACTCCTTGCTGTATTGGTAAAGCGTTAAATGAACAGTGCTATCTTATCAAGTTAAACAAGTCTAAAAAAACTAAATGTTTCCAAGAACTGACTAAACAAAACCAAGAGCTTCTTTTTTAGAGGAGCAAAGTAAATTCTATAGATTTTATTTGTAACGATCACGAGAAAGTTTGCTCGTTATTGTATGAAAATAAACATCAAAGGTATTGCGGTAATCCTTTGAACAAGCACGCAAAAAAAGTGAAAAAAGTTTCAATATTTAAACAAATAACTTTAACTTAATACAAATAAATTTGGTAATAATTAATTGTTAAACAATATTTACTAACTATTATCATTTACTTAATAGATTTTCTTAAAGTTATCATTCTTTCATGTGCTAAAAGTTTTGGTTTAATACCTGGTCAAAAAATCTGCACCAATGGCAGAAAAACACTGCATTGTAAACATCAAGATACAAAATGAAATGAATCCCAATAAATAGAAACTTATATTGACAATCTAATATTAAAAGATCTTAACTTAAGTGTATTTAGTGTGGAAATAGCACTGGTAGTGTGGAAGCTGCACTTAGTTAAATTGAATTCGCTGCAAACAAATATTTAAAAAATAAACAAAGATTTAGACAATATAATGACTCTAATCAAGCAAAATTTTTAGCTGTTGTGTTCAACATATAAAAGGAATTGTGTTCAACATGTCAAAGAAATCTTTCATTTTTGTTGACAAAGCTTCCATAGAAACGCATATTACAAACTTCAATTTGGAAGAGAGATACCATTCTTATATTACAATACCTAGGACACGAAAGCACCATAGTTTCATACCAATGTCACTAACAAATAAGATAAGTTTCATTTGATGGTGTTTATACTAATGCGGATATTTCTACCTGTAGAGTTTGTATGAATGAAATTTCAAGTTACACACCAGGAACATACGTGTCTTGCATTTATGATGACTCATTATTATTTAGCATCACCATCTTTATTTTAAACTTATAAAAGACTTCTTTATATAGCTTTTAGCACGTTGCCATGCAGAGATGACCTCTGTTGGTTACCCCTGATGCATATTTCATTCAAAAGTCCAGTCTAACAGATAAAGATTTTATAATACTGACTTAAAAAAAATCAATGAGATTAATTTGTTACTTGAGAAATTTAGTTTTGTTAAATCTTTTTTTTTTTTTTATTTATTTGGTATAACCTTTTTTTTAAATGTTATAAAAAATTTGATATAAGAGTTATGTTTAAATTAATTAAATTTTCTAATCATACAAATTTCATGCATTAATAAATTAATTCAATCTAAACATATTTTTTAGCACAATTATGTAAAATGCATTATTTAAGCCTAATTCAAATGACTTGATTTAGTAGTAAGAATCATTGAAAATGAAAAACTAACATTAGGTAAGCGAACACAAAAATGTTGGATATTGACCTTTGAAGGACGAAAACAAACTACTTACAATACTTTTAGTTCTAATAAAAAAAAATTTACAATACTTGGATTTCACATAATAAAGTAAGGAATAAATATTTTCACAAAAATCAATCACAAGAAGGGAGTAAAAAAAATGTTTGATGCATGCATAAAGTTTGATTCAAGTTTTGAATTTTAAAAAACGTTTTTTTTTATATTTTAGCTCACATTTGCAAACTTTTTAAAACTCTTTAAAAAAGGTATTGGTCATTGGCTCCAATTAGATATTTTAATAGAAGTACTTGATTTGAGTGCTGCAGTCTTGTGCACGTTTTTTTAAAAAATGTAATGATCCAACATATTGCATTAGAAAGGATTGTCCTGGTAATACAGTTCAAAAAGTTGCTAAACCGCTTTATTTTTGCCATCTTTTATATCTCAAGAATAATAAGAGAAAATAGTACCTAGGAAAAAAATTTCTATAAAATTTTCTATAAACTTTTGAAACATATGGTCTATAGAAATTCTATAAAATTCTATTGAATTTCTATAGAATATCTGTTAACTTTTATAAAAATTTCTGTAGAAATTTTTGTTCTACATTTTTTTTTATAGAAAAAAAGTTTTATAGCAATTTCTATAGAAATTAATATACATTCTATAGAAATTCTATAGAGTTTCTATAGGCCATATGTTTCAATAGTTTATAGAAAATTCTATAGAACTTTTTCCTCGGTATCTACTTTAAAAAGCAAAAAAAGAATATTTAAAATTTACAATGGCTTCAGTTTTTTAAATTCTGTCAAAGCAATTCAAATCAATTTTTGTCTAGTTTGTCATCTCAGCACAATTAAATTTCAAAATAAGTTAATAATGACACCTTAAGAAGTATTATTTATTGAAACGTAGTGCTACGATAACCCGCCAGCAAGTTTTAAACCTGTATAATATATAACCATAATATTTTAATAAAATTTCATTTTTCATTTTTCAAAAGATGTCATAATACTTCAATCAAACAACCAAATCTAATTTAGATTTACCCTAATCTAATTTCGCTTTCCTTTTATAGCATCTTTTCAAAATGTAGTGTTTATGGAGTTAGCAAGTCTGAAGTCCGAAGTCGAAAAGTCTTTATCTGCAGTAAAAAAAAAATGTGGAGAAGAGTTGAGCGAAAAGGTTCTGTTTTAATATATCTACTGATATGAGAGGATTTGAGGAAAAGGAAAAATTTTGAAACAATAAAAAAAGTTTCATTTGTTTGTATAACTCATGTTTTCATCAATCCATAGAATAAAGAAATGGAAATTCAAACAAATAGGTGGCAGTTCAACTTCAGCACCTAAATAACAAATTAAAAAATACTATATTTAACGTAAGGTTTTGCGAGGGAAAACTTTTAATCTTTTTTGTTTTGCTTATTAGTGAAGTTTAGCGTTGGGATTTTATGGACGATCCCTGAGTGAAAAAATATCAAAAAGTGTTCAAGCAATGTTTAAGAAAGCTGTGTTAAACGAAGAAAAAAATCAAAAATAAAAACATTATTGCATAAAAGAAGTATAGGTAAATTATATAGACTGAAATTTGATGGGTTTTTTTCTTATTTAGTTTAGTAATCAAATAATAATTGTGTTTATAAAATTGTTAAATAAACTAATCGTAATGTTTACGTAATGACTAAGACTTTACCCGGAATACTTGTTTATGTTAATGTGTTAACGCAATAGCTTTTTTAGTTCTTTTTAGAAACATTAGTTTCACAAACAACAAAATTCGATTACGCCAATAAGTCATTGGCAACAAATTAAAGATTATCTGATTAAAATAAAAAAAAAAAAAAGAATAAAATGAATCTTATTACAAATTTATAATTTGATGCAATTTTTTAATTTTTATATGATTACATTGCAAGTGAATACAAACAAATTACAGTATTAGAAATTATTACGAAAATCTCGTGATCTAGGCTGTCACAGTTTTGCATTTTGCCTTTGAAACCAAATTTCAAGTACTTTAAGAATCGATCTTAACCTCGGTTTTTGTATATATTTGTAAATTTGTAAACTTCAACTACAATTTAAGTTTACATATCAATGAGATGAGAAATTTTTTTCAGCACTCATCCAAAATTTTTTTTCCTTTAAACATAATTTTCTTTACTAAATTTAGTTATGCAGAAAAAAAATGTTTTTTGAACTTTCCGTAAAAACATTAAGACATTTCATATAGACATAATAAAACCAAAAAATGGTTTTCGTGACAAAATTTCTACAGGATCTTTAATAAAAATTTTCCGATTGTTCCTTAGCCAACTGGGAGGTTCATATACTTTTAAAATATTGTTTTTGTTAATATTTGAAAGCTGTGTTTTTATGTTAATATTAGAAACTGTGTTAATTAGATGTAATATTAAAAATTGTGTTACTGTAATTTTTTAACTGAGTTTTTATGTTCTATATTAGAAAACTACTTTAAGCGTGCTGAGCAACATTTAATAGTAACTCTTGTAAGTAAATTATTCAAATCTCGTGTCACTTTATTATATAGATGTTGTCTAAAAACCTTGGGATGATGCTTACGGCAATCCAAAAAAAAAAAAAAAATACAACATAAATGCACATCTACAAGAATCGGTGTGAAATTAATACAACATAAATACATCTAAGAATATTGGTGTGAAATAATGAAAATACAATTAAACTTTTTTTAACGATGTTTTTTAATGTAAATATTAAAAATTTTCTTCTCTCCGACAAAATTAAAATTTTGTGATACTTTTTTAGTTATCCTAGAAATGTCTAGTTATCTAGAAATTTCTAGTTATTATTTTTATACATTTAAACTTCCAAAGAACATTCTTGGTGGTTGCTGTTAGCAACCGTAAATTTACAGATCCTGGTGGAACTCATTAAACAAACATTTTAAAAAACTTTATTTTTAGGTCACCATATTTTTATAGTGGCCCAAAAAATTATTTCAATATATAAACATTTACCTTATTAAAATTACAAATCTTATACAAAGTTTTTTACCAAGTGTTGTAGGGGTTATATCGCCATACCCAACTGTAGTCATAGTAACAATGGCCCACCAAAAGCTATGAATGATGCTACGAAATTCAGTTTTTGGCTCTGTTTCTTCACAAAAATAAGCAACTGATGAAAATAAAATAACGCCGATCATCAAGAAAAAGGCCAATAAGCCAAGTTCTTGCAAACTTGCCTATAAATTAATAAAGCAAAAGTAAAAGTTAACAAACTTAATTTTACCCCCTCTTGCTTTTCAGATAACTATATTAACTAACAAGTATTTTAGTTAAAATAAAAAAGAAATGTTTTTTATTGTTGAAATAAAAATTCATTTTTTAGGTTTTTTTTTTTTGTTATTCAATCGAATATTTTAAAACTATTCCATAATATTCTGATGTTAGTTTTTTTTAAAAAAAAATGTAATACTGAGCAATTATTAATTAAAAGAACATTTTTATCTCGATTTATTTTACAGTTTAACGTTTTTTATTTTTGTAAACTACCAATAAGCCAAGCAGATGTTTTTAACAAATTAAAGTTGAACCTTGAAGTGATTCAAAACAAATTATATGAAATTATCAAATTTATTCATTTTTTCTTTTTTTTGTTTTGTTTGTTTCTTTATTTAAATTTTATCTATTAAATGTATTTCAAATTTCAAATACTTTAAAATTACTGGATACATCACATTCCCTATAAAACCAGACAGCCTAATTTATGAAATAGATTTAAACTATGTTTAAAATTAGACAATCTTTTAATTCTAAAATTTTCCTAGAAACATTAAAGTAATGAACTACTCAACATTGTTTGCTACAAGTTATTTAAAAAAAAACAAGTCAACTACCACTTCAAAACCATCGTCGGCCCTGACTATATAATTAAAACATTTTGTTCTCAACCCCGTTATACGTAATAACTTGCATGCTTAACACATAGCGAGTTACGTACGTTACACGTAGCTAGTTGCAAACGTTACTCGTAACGAGTTAAACATGTTGTTATTTATAGGAACACATTAGTTAGGTTTCTTTATTATTATTTTTTTATTCATAGCAAAAAATTCAAGAAAAATTTACGTTAAGAAAAAATAGTAACGTCAACTTACCGAAAATGTTGTTATGCATTATTGAAAGTTTGAATTTTTAGAATGTTTAGCACAATTATAATTTCGACATCTTATAATACTACGTATTTATACGATCTCTTATTCACACAAATATAAAACTTGTTTAGTGAAACAAAAAAATTGTGATAAAAGTGATAACTATTGCAACAATCATGTCATAAGTATTTACACAAAATCAAAAATTGAAGGAATAAAAGTAAGTAAAGGCTGTGGAAATTAAAAAATGTGGAGAATACATATAAAAGAGGTTGCTTTAATAAACGGGATGGACATAATAATACCTGGAAGAGTTTTCTCCATCTGAAAAAATTTTTCTGTCTTTTTTTTATTATTACTTTTGTAGATATTAAGTTGTTCCCAGAAGTCCTTAAGGTCAATATTTTTTCCAGATGTAACTACACCAAAATAAATTTCTGTAAGTAATTTTATCTGGCTTGTTTAATGACTTTTAGTTTAGCTATTTTTTTTTACAGGCGTAATTACATCTGATCAAATCCTATAAGTATATAAACCCAGGTAATTTCGTAGCTCTTAAATTTTGAATTTAATAAACAGTCCATTTGCAATATTATCTAGCAAATAAAACATTAACATTTTTATTTTATAATAAAATAGTAATTATTCAAACTCATTTGTACATTATATAATAAACTGTATAAATATCTAACAAATAACAAAATCCTAAATAAAAAACAGTTTGGCTTCCAAAAGCAACATTTAAACGAAAAAAAGCACACAATTCTTGACCTTATAAATAATATAAATGACTTCTTTGAAAACAAATAATACGTCCTTGGGGTCTTTGTTGATTTATCTAAGACGTTTAACACAGTAGATCACGCTATCTTAATTAGGAAAATGGAAAAATATGAGATAAAAATGTTGCACTAAACTGGTTCAAATATTTTTTATTAGACAGAAATCAATGCGTTGTTCCTCAGAAAACAAAATTTTCAAAATTACTCAAAATAAAATGCGGTGTCCCTCAAGGTTCCAATCTTGCACCTCTTTTGTTTTAATATACATAAATCATCTTCCTAAAGCCTCAAGTAAATTGGATATCATAATGTTCGCAGACGACACTAATTTATTTTATGCATCCTCATCTATTACCGAACTTTATAAAACTACAAATACTGAACTTGAAAAAATAAACAGTTGGTTAAAATCTAACAAATTATCGCTAAACACAGAAAAAACCAAATACATTCTTTTTCATTCTAACCTTATAAAAATACCTTACGATTTAAAAATACTAAAGAAACTGAGAGAACCCAAGCAACTAAATTTCAAGGGATACTTATTGATGAGAACATCTCATGGAAATCACATATAGATATATTAAATGCAAAAATATCAAAAAGCATTGGTATCCTTGACAAAGCTAGTTCTATACGGTTCTCTGATAATTTAAAGTTCCTATACTTCTCGTTCATACAAAACTACTACATATTCGCTGATGTTGCATGGGCGAGTACTCATAAATCCAAAATAACCACAATATATCAAAAAAAAAAACATGCAACAAGAATAGTTTTTAATAAGGATAGACTCTCGCATGTTGATCGATATTTAAAAAATTTGAAAGCATTAAATGTATATCAAATCAATATATTCCAAAATTGTTGTTTATGCTCAAATATAAATTTAGACTTGTTTCTTCTCACTTTTCAAAGAATTTCTTCCAAAATAGAAAAAATAGATACCATACCAGAGGAATGGGAAACTTCAACGTACCTTTTAAAAAAATTAATCTCTCGCGTTTTTCCATTTTGTACCGTGGTTCTTGTCTATATAACAAGTTAATATCCAAAAATACTCAACTGGAACCTAAATACTCTGAAAAAGTTATTAAAAGTTCTCATTTTAAACACTAACAATTTTAAGAATTTTTGTTAACCCAAAAAAATTTGAAACTATGTATAAAACTAACTTTGTTCCGAAACCAATGTAAACTCTAATAACTCTAAAAACTCTAAATAACTCAAAAACAACAACAACAACAACAAAAAACAAATAATAAATAACAGACTTGTTTATCAACACGTGAACCACTATATATTAGCAAATCGTGTACCTACTTACATTTATGTCTATTAAAATAAAGTTCTCAAAATAAGATTCTTATTTTGAGAACTTGATTCTTATTTAAGAGTATTTCAATAAATAAATAAATAAATAAATACATATATATATATATATATATATATATATATATATATATATATATATATATATATATATATATATATATATATATATATATATATATATATATATATATATATATATATATATATATATATATATATATATATATATATATATATATATATATATATATATATACATATACATATATATGTATCAAAAGGCCTTCCTTTTAACAGGTATATCTAAAAAAAAATCATTAAATTTTGAATGAGACCCCTAAATTTAAAGAAATTAGAGCCACTAAATTTCCCCTCCTGTTCCCCCTCCCCCACCATCTAACAGACCCTGCGTTCATGATTTTAAGTAATCAAATAGTCTAATCCATTTGATCGCCATTAAAAGTAAAATACCAACCAGAAGGAGTCTTTTAATAAGTTCGCATTCAACAAATTCGATTTGTTACATCTGCGAATCTGCATAAATCTAATCTAGTATAAATGTGAATCTTTTGTAAGAGCAAAGTAGTTACAAATTAATATAAGTGTTAAGTGCAAGCATAAGTGCAAACATGCATAAGTGCGACTTGGTTTGAAAAGCGCCGAAGCTGTGCACTTTTTTTTACTAAATGAATAAAATACTGCCTAGCGAAGCACAGTGACTCAGGACAACCAAAAAACGGCAAAAAATAAATAAAAATTGACATAAATCGTAAATAAGTATATATATAAAAATAATAATTATATATTAAAATAATAATTTTTAAGTCAAATATTTCAAATTTGTTAATAATTTTTTTTTAACGCGCAGCTTCGACGCGTAAAATGCGCGCTTACGCGTGTTAAAGGTATACGCGTACAAATTTTTTTTTTTTTTAGAATCTTCAAGACAAACACATAATTTTGATATATTACTCTCTTGATATTTTTATAAAAATGGTTTTTAAAGGATGTTGATACATAAAGAAAATATACTGTATTTTTTTACATTAAATTTATAATTTACATTACAACTAATTTAAAAACTTCATCTGGTAATGGTTTTCCTCGATAGCTCTTACGTTTTCTAAAAGATATGCTTGATATTTTTGGATCTGATCTTACTAGAAGGTAGTGCATCTGATTCATCATTGTGTTTAACCTTGATATTTTTGCCGTGTGCTTAAGTCTAGAATTTCTTATCTGTTTATTTAAACTCTCTAGTGCATCTTCCGAATATACCCCGATTGGCAAAGGTAATTTATTTTATATAGAAAAACTATGCAGTAGCAGTTTATGTACAGTAGGAGGCATAACATGCCAGTTGTATAAACTCATTATACGTTTAGCTGTTTCAGTGCAGTATAAATCTAATTCATTGATATTAATAGGATATCCACAAGATATGGTTATGAGAATATTATGCAATCTTTTAATTATATCACAATCAACTTTAGTAATTTCAGAAAAAAACTTCACTAATTTTAAATGCTCCTCTGGCAGTGTTGCCGTCATTCGTGTTTCCAGACCCAGTTTTAGGCATATCAACGTATAGGCTTAACCGTTTTCTGAAGAGTACCTGAATCTCTTTTTTTTTTAAGTCTACAGATAGTTTTTCCTCAATTGTTTTTGGCTTATACTTTTTAGTTTCAATTTTATAACTCAAATGAAGAATGAACTCCAAGCATTTTATCCAGCAATGCAAAGCTGAAATTCCGAGCCCCAAGGCCGAGTCATTCTCAGTTTTTGCTTTTAATAAATCAATATTGTTCATTTCCTTGGGTTTAGCATTGCACAAATACTTTGGCTTGATGCTCCATCAAAACCAATCTTTCCATATAAAGCTCCAAATATTTCATCACTTTGACCAAAAGGCATATCAATCATTTTTGTTATTCTACTCACAGTGTAATCTAACATGCTTTGAAGAGTACACTTTGCAGAAATTTCAGAAAAATGTATATTCTCAGGATAGCATTTCAATTTTTCCACGAAAATATCGTGCAAGGTAGGATAAATATGCATGTTGTGTACAAGAGCTGAGTTTCTGATCATTTGATATTGTTTATCGCTGAGATCAATATTCATTTTTAATGCAAGAGCATCCTCTACACTCATGTTAATGGAAAAGGTTTTATCCAAAGTTTTATCAACTTTTTCTATCTCAAACATTAGATATATTGTTTTTTTAAAACAGAGGCTTTTTTTTTTCTCCAGCAGCATTTGCACTTTTTGCAGAAGCTAAAATTAAAGCTTCATGATGTTCAGTGGCTAGTTCTTTTATTTTTTTTTTTTGCTTCTCTCTCCAAGAACATTCTGTTTATGGGGCCTTCCAGAACCAAAATGGCTATTTTTATTGTTCATAAGATTTCTTTGAAGCCAACGATTTTCTATTTGTATAAAAGTATCATAGTTTTGTCCAATGTATCATTGTTTTTTTTTTTTCTTCACCTTTGAAATAATTATAACTAAAGCAAGCTTAACTTTATTTAAGTTTTCTTTGCAAACTTTTTCAGTATTTTTTATTTTATTAAGTAAATTCTTCCATAATTTTAATTTATCAACTCCTAATTCACGTATATTTGGGATAAGATCTAATCTTTTCATTGTTATCGTTTTTAAGAACCATCAATATAATAAAACTAATATATTAGACACAATTTAAATAAAATTACATATTTTTTTACTTTACACTGTTTCAAATTGTATCTTGTTATGACTTTTAACAATTTTCACATTGTTACATCCTGTAATAACACATATTACTTAGTTAACTTTATATTACATATAATATAAAGTTAACTAAGTAATATGTGTTGTTACAACTTTGGTATTTCCCGTTTCAAGAAATACCAAGTTGTTACATCCTGTAATAACACATATTACTTAGTTAACTTTATTTAATAATTAATTAAAAATTAAATAATTAACAATTAAGGTTTTTCAAACATGTTGTACTTATCGAATAATAAATCGTTCTTTAAAATTGTCAATAAATATTTTAACAAACTTTTAAATAGTATATAATGACAAAAGCACGTTTTTTAAAACTATATTTAATATTTATGATTTAAAAACTATATTAAAACAAGTTCTACAAGCAAGAAGCTTAACTTTAAGTTTCCCGCCAATTTCATTTGTTCTGATATAATAAAGTTCTTAGCAAAATGGCGGAAAACAAGGTTTTTTTAAAATCATCAACATTTGTTTTTCTTTAATAACTTCCAATACCGCTGGAAACCACAGTAATCCTTTTAAATTCCTAAAGTAGAAATGTTAATTTACTGGAAAACATATATATAAATTTGTGGAACTCGGTGGAACATTTTTTTAGCTGATATATAAACAAAAAAAATACAATTATTTTCTACTTTTTTTTTAGAGGTCTTTAAATTTAAACGAAAAAATCAGACTTTTTTTTTTTTCTTTTTAGTATATTTGAAATATATAGAGTCAAAATATTATTTTAAAAATAAATATACACTTTTATTTAAATTTCAAGTTCTCTAATTTAGTTGAATAAAAACCTCACATTTTTCAGATTTCTTTAAAAATAATATCAAATTTTTTCACGTCTTTTACCTATAAAATACAAAATATCAGCTTTATGAAAAAATTATTTTTACTTTTGAAATAAAAAATCATTGTCTTTTAATATTATCTAACAAAGGGCACTTAATTTATAAAAAAGTGGTGAGGGGTTTATTGCCATTTTTGTTGTTGTTTTGAGTCACTGTACGACGTATCAAGGAATTTTTGTAGGCCAGTGCCGTGGCTAAAGGGTATTCCCCCCCCCAACCTATTAGGGCTCAAAAACCGTTTCATGCACAAACTAACTAAGCCGTCTATACTAACTAAGTTAATAAAGACGGTTAGTAAATACTAAGTTAGTACCTTTGTTCTAAACTTTAATCTGGATTTCATTCTCAACAGATAATCAACCAAATCTGAACGTATTGTCGAAACGTAGTTTTGATGTTTGATAGACGTTTGTATGTTTACTGGGAACTTTATAACTTTACATAAGTAATAAGGGCAACTCTACATAAGTAATAAGTATATAGGTCTTGAAATTTATAAATAAAATATAGTTATAAAAGTAATGAAATTTATGGGCACGGTCGATTACGAGCGTTATAGTCCGCATATCCAGAAGTTTTAAGAAATTTTAGAGATTTTAAAATGGCTGTGGTTCTTAGCTACATAATCTTTTTTTATATGGCAACTGTTTTTTTAGTTTATTTTTGTAAATGTTGCAACCATATTATTGATCTAACTTAATAAATAAAGGTCTTTTTTTTGTTAGTAAATAAATAAAAGTGAGGCTATAAGAGAGTGAACAACCCAGAATGTGGATTGTTGACCCAGAATGTGGATTGATTTTTTTTAATTTAATAACATGGCATGGTATACATAAGCATGTTTTACATAAACATGGTACAAGATGTTTTACATAAGCATGTTACATGTTTATGTGAAACATCCATATTTTTTGTAAGTATATTGCTTTTGGATGTTGTTGTTGTTGTAATATTGAGCGATTTTTTTTATTTTTTTGAAATAAACTTTAAAAATTTCTAACTGCACAAATTTAAAGTTTTTTTTTTCATTATTATTATTTTTATTATTATTATTTTCTTTATACTTGATTTTTTTTTGGTTGTTGCTTAAATTTAATTTTGCTGTAAAAATGTATTTTAAAATTAGGGCCCCTAATTTTAAAATACATTTTACACACCCCTACATTTTAAAATACATTACACATACCCCTAATAGGGGTGTAAAAATGTAATAAAAATTCAAAAGCTTTCTGTTTATAGGGTTAGTTTTTGATGGCTATTGTTTTTTTTTTTTTTTTTTTTTGATTTAAGAATACTTTTTAAGCCCTTTTTTTTGGAGATATTATCGATAAATAGTAAATGATTCATTAAACTAATTAAGAATGGATTCACCTCCTAATTTGTAGTATGCCTTGTTGTTTGTACCTTGTTTGTATTAATGTATATACTTATAATTTAAGTGAAATACCCTATAAACTACTAATTAACCAATAATTTTTTAAGAATATCTAATCTTAAAACAATTTATTTAAAATAAAATACTCTAAAGAATATCATTCTAGTTCTAATATCCTTTACTTAATATCCAAAATTATTAAATAGCATGCTCTTGTACATATTTTAAATTGTCTATTTGTCTGGAGTCATACGCAAGTTATCCTACCTCTCTCTAACTGTATTTTCTTTACTTCTATAAAAAGCTCTCCTATCTTTTAGTTTATATATATACCTTAAATTATATATCCTAAACCAATGCATAAAATCATGGAATAATTTGCCATATTTTATACATGGAGTAATTTTTTTATATATACTCAATTTAAATCACTAAACTCTACTATTAAAACTTGTTTTTATGCCTTTTTATGGGGAGATACTGTTTGTAAAATGTTGGGCTCATTGTGGGTTATTATTAGTATTATTATTATTATTGCTTTTGGTATGATTATATGTAATATAATTATTATTATAACATTATTTTACTACTATTCATATCATTATTACTTATTGTTATTGTTCATAATATTATTGGTATTTTAATATTATTAATAATTTTTCTTTAGATCAGTATTAGTAGTATTTTTAAATATCCATGTAATGCATGTGTATGTTTTACACATACACACACATGATATATGTGTGTGTTTTCTTTTTAGCAATTGTAAGTTTCCAAATACACGCAAGGTAAAGTAAGTAAAGTAAACATTACTTTTTAATTAGAAAATTTAACATTAATAATTAATTTTTTTTTTTTTTTTTACATTTCTTTTATCCTTATTTTTATAACATGGTTAGTTAAAAATCACCAGAACAAAGTTTTTAGAAACTGAATGCTAAATTTACTCAAAAAAATACCTGGGTAAATAAATGTTTAGTTGACAGACGTGATAGAATTGCAACAGTTTTTGAAAAATATCCATGTTTCTCTAACATGATCGTGGTAAGATTTTTTTTTCATTGTTGATTTTATATTTTTATTGGAAAAAATTAATGAGTAGTCATTTTTTCAAAACTGCAATGTCCTAATGGGTTATCCTTTTTAAAATTGTTTGTATGCTTTTTTTTTATTATTGTTTAATTCAGATTGTTGACGAGATGAGGCAGCCAGGCGGCGTGAAATTTTAAAGTGCATCTTAGATGTAATTCTCTTCTTAACATCACGCAACCTTAGCTTCCGAGGTATATTTGTGAAAGTTAATTATTATATTTGTATTTATGTTATAAATTATTTTTATTATAATTAAACAGAAAGTCATGGTCTATATGTGTTATTAAAGTTGTCGTTTTAGAGTCATCAAAAATAATCTATGATGACGATAATGGCAATTTCCTTGCAACTCTAGAGCTACTCGCAAAGCGCAACAAGACCCTTCAGTTACATCTAGAAGAAGTTTCTCGCTTTCAACAAGAAGGTAAACAAATTATTGTCCATTATTTGGCTTGGAGTTCACAAAAGAGTGCGGAAGAATCTTCTACGGTGCCATCATTAAAGATGCGCATTTGGCAATTTACTATCGCATTCTTGTCGACAGAACGCCTGACGTTTCTCATATTGAGCAAATCATATTTGTTCTCTGCTTTGTCTACTATGGTATTGATAAAAAATGGGTAATTAAGAAGCGCTTTCGTAGGGTCGAAAATCTCGAAAAAAAGAAAGGTGTGGATATTGCCAAGATAATTATGGATGTCTTGGATCAAAATAACATCAATCTGAAGAACTGTCAAGGTCAAGGATACAACAACGGTGCCAACATGTCTGGTGTGTACAGAGGAGTACAAGCGATCATTCTTTAGAGAAATCATCTTTCTACATACCATGCAGCGCTCTTACCTTAACCTAGCTCTTAATTATTTCCTTGAATCTTCTGTAGAGATGAAGAACTATTTTAGCCAGATTCAGTTACTCTACAATCTTTTTAGTGGAACCTCTAAACGATGGAAAATCTTGACCGAGACGACTGGTTTGTCTCTTCATTAAACCTCACAAATCCGATGGAGTGCACACATTGAGGCTGTGAAGCCGTTGGTTAAGCCACCTAGAGAAATACTTTTTTGTTTTCAGAAACTTCGGGAACTTGATTTAGCTGTTGATTGATTAAATGACGTAAAATCTTTGGAGAAATGGATTCATTCATTTGAGTTTATTATCTTGACAACCTTCTGGTTCAAAGCGCGTCAAGCAATTTACTATGTCAGCACATCATTTTAATCAGAAAACATTACTTTAGTTGATGAGATGAAGCTTATGAGAATTCTAATCAAGGATCTCCACAAACTTATTTTGGAGGTCCATCATGTGGATACTCTGAACCACGCCAATCTTTTTGGTCCAAAAGAATATCTCACTTGAATGAAGATATTAAATGAAACCTAATAAAAAAGATCTAGAGTCTATCTTAAAATCAATATGCAATTTGTTACTTTTTTTTAGAGAGTCAAATTCTCATGAAGTAATTAAAATATCTATTACATTTAAAACTTATAGTTACTCGCAATATAATAAAGTTCAGTAACTTGTCAAAAAACTTACCTTGTTACTTGTGCTTGTTTTTTTACTTTTATTTCAAATATATTTAAAAAATAAATAGAAACCTTCTCGACTGTAGTTACCCCCTCAGCTTTTGAAAGTCAATTCAGTTTTTTAAAAAAAGGCATTTGGACATTACCTAAACATTTTTGGATTAGATAAATATGACAGGGCGCTAGGTGAATTTTGACCCCAGGCGTCATGAAGGGCGGGCCGCGATATATATATATATATATATATATATATATATATATATATATATATATATATATATATATACAAGCCCGGCGCGATAGGGGGTGTGGGGGTGTGATACCCCACCCATCAATGATTTTTAGTCGGCAAACTGGACCCTTAGTCGGCAAATTGGACCCTTTTAGACTAGTTAGTCGGCAAATGTCGACTCTTTTGATATAGGTTAGACATTCGGCAAATGTCGTCATGGCAGTCGGCCAATTTTGGAAAACGAGGACCTTTTTTTTTTTTTTTAAGTCGGCAAAAGTTGCAATGGCACCCCCTCCACCCACGTGACACCTACTCGCGCCGGCCCTATATATATGTGTATAAATTAGAATAATAATAAAGTACAATTAAATTTGATTAATATAATGGTACTTTATTATTGTTCTAATATAACATATATTTACTCTACTTTTGTATTGAGCACTATCAACCAAAAAATTGCTTTTTTATTACTGATATTTCGTACTTTAAGTTGCAAACTGGAAGCTTTTATTTAGATTCAGTAAATATTTATCAGTGAATATACAATTGTTAACAATAAAAAATAAATTTCTACTTAATTTTTATTCGCAAAACTAGTTTTTAACACTTTTAATTTAAAAAACCTTTTTTTAAAAACTTCAGAGGTTGAAATTTTAAAAAACAACGCAAATGTTAATTTCTTTTACTGTCAACAATAATTTTATATATAAAAAAAAGAAAATTATAAGTAAAAAAAAATACCAACAAAGAAAATATAATTGTCTATAATTATTGATTGTAATAACATTTATTAAACGTTTCAACTGTTTTACCTGAAAAACACTTAATATATTAAAAGAATTTATCTGGTTTTGTTGAGGAGCGTCACGTGTTTGGATATTTCTGAACAATTCTGAAGGTTTAGTAACGTATCTTTTTGAGTTTATTTACCCTCTACGTTTTGAAGATTTCCCGCATTTATTTCATCCGCGTCTCGTCAATATCCTGTGTAAATTGGGACACCACTTTTAGCTGTTTTCGTAGACTCACTGTTACTCATAAATTCTTTACATTTTTTCAAAAAACCATTTAAAAGATGGATTGTTTTAATATTTACACGATATTAAAAACTATTTGCTAAATTTAAATGTTAAACTTTTCTTAAATAATTGTTAAACGACTATAAAATATAACTGTACATTGAAAATATATTTGAATAACATTAAAAAAAACTGAGTAAGTTAAAACAAAAACAAAAAAAAAAATTTAAGTCTTTAAGACTAAAAGTTTTTGAACAAACAAACAAACAAAAAATTATTTTGTACTTCTACTCTGCAACATAATCTGTTTTATTAAATTTTTATATATTGTTATTGTTATTTATGTTAATTTTTATATATTGTTATTGTCATTTTTTACAATTGGATAATCACTTTCATTGATAAAAGAAATATATGCAATATAAATGCTGTTAAAAAAACATTAAGATTAATTTATCGTTGTGTTATTTTTAGCTGTCAAAACTGTCAGACTATAGAAACTAGAACATTTCATGTTGATTAAAAAATTCTCAACAATATTGTAAAATATGATTATAATTATCAATCTTGTAAATATAATTGCATTTAATCTTTTGATTATCGTTCGATTACATTAACTAACATTGTAAATATGACTATATTTATTAATCTTTTAAAAATGATTACAGTGTTCGTAATCACAATATTTATTTTAACATTGGGATGTAATTCCAATGTTAAAATAAATGGTATAAAAGGTGGACGTATACCAAAGTTTTAAAAACAAGTAAACTTTTTATATGCATTTTTAAATACTGTATATTTATAAACTTTCATGTAGTATAAAATATTTAAAGAACTAAGAATAGTGTACGAAATGTATGAAGCTTAAAAACAAATATATAATCTTCGTTAACAGTCTCATAGCCCCTTTAGAAAGAAAACAAGTTTTTTAAGAAATAAATGTTTTAAATATATATAAGCTAAATGTCTTTAATATTTTATTCTTTCATGTTTAAATGTAGAGAAAATTTGTCGCCAAATGTATTACAAAATCTTTATTGTATGAAACCTAAAAACAAATATAATCTTCGTATTAGTAACAATCTTTTTGCCTTAAATCAAAGATCAGTTTTTTGTTTCTTGCAAAAGAAACAAAAAACTTTTTTTTTTCCTAAGCTCTGAAACAAAATAGTCTTACCAAATTTTTTGATTTTTCTGAGAAACTAATTTTTGCTTCATTTAAACAAAAACTTAAAAGAACTATATTTTTAATTAAAAAAGCAGGGTGTCCCAAAATAAAAGTCAGTAATCAATAACAATTATTAGTTTGAAACTCCATTGTAAATAAATGTTGCAAGAAATCAGAAAATCCATCTAGTGGGAGAAAATTGAGAACTAAATTGCAGACAAAGTGCAGACTCACAGCAACTAACATGCAGAAACGTGTTAAAATGTGCCACTGGTTTGAAAAAACAATTGAAAGTGACCCTGATTTCCTTAACAATGTATGGTTCAGCGATGAAGCTCACTTCATGCTTTCTGGGCTCGTTAACAGCAAAAATAGTATGTTATGGGGTACACAAGCACCAGAGGAAGTGCTTCACAAGCCACTCTACTCTCTCAAATGCAGAACATGGGAAGCCATATCAAAGCACGCCATTATTGGACCGTATTGTTTTTAGAATGAGAATGAAAAACTTTTACTGTCATCAAAAATTAAATAGAAATATGCTGTGGTTCCAACAGGATGGAGCTACTCCACATACAGTCAATAACACATTAGAGTGGCTGGACCATCAATTCACTGATCGTTTGATAAGCATGATCCAGAATGGTTTCCTAATTCGCCTGATATGAATCCCCCAGACTTTTACTTGTGAGGTATGTTAAAAGACAAAGTTAATCAGTAAAATCCATTGACTGTTGCTGAATTGAAATTGGCCAATACGCAGAACATTTGTGTAATAAAAAGAGAATAATGTCTCAAAGTGTTTGATAACTTTGCTCGTCAACTTTAAGATATCTGAGTCGGAATGGAGGTTATTTAGAGTGTGTTTAAATAAAATTTAAAATTAAGCTAAAGACCCGAAATTTTCAATATTTATTTATTATTATGTGAGCCCTCAGAAAATATTAAAATTTTAAATTTATTTAGTTTTAATAATAATTCTTAATCAAATTAATGGGTTTTGTTTATTTTGGGACACCCTGTACTTTCATCTATTTTTAATTGTTTTGTTTTTTGCATACTGTTTTGTTTCAGAATTTACAAGGAATTTTCTTTTGTTTTAGAATAAAGTAAAATGTCTTAAAACTAATTTTGCTTTCAAATTACATAAAATTAAGGTAAATTGTTATAAAACTTTGTTGAGCCACAATTGAACATTTGACTCAAATACTCATAATAAAATTACTCACTCATGTTAACTCTTTTATGGATTGTTAGTTAGAACTTGTTTGTTAAAAATGTATTGCTAATAATTTAAACAAGTAAAAAAAACTTAATGCAAAGTAGAGTTGTTAACAAGGCCAAAAATAGCAAGGCCAAGGCCACACGTTACAAGGCCAAGACCAAGGCCAACAGTTTCAAGGTCGAATATCGACAAGCCAAAAATTTAGGCTTAAGGCCTAAATTTTTGGCCTTAAGCCCAGGCCAAGGCCAAGGACTAACAACTCTGATGCAAAGGCTCTACAAGCTAAAGAAGTTTTATTTTCTGGAAATAGTTTAGTAATTGTAAGTACATGCACTTTATTTATTATTTTAATCAGAGTAAATTAGATTGATTAAAAGGCCAGGATAAACAACTAAATTTCATATAGAAAAATAGTTTCTTGAAATTAAACTGCACTTTGATTGAAGTCAATTTATTTTGAAAATAAAGAATCATAAACTTATTTACTGGAGCTTTCTCTTTAAACATGTTGTTTTATATGTTTTGCAGGTGTAAATCTAGAAGATATTAATCTATCAAGAAGTACCGTTCATAAAAAAAAGATTCAAAAAAATTGAGATATTAGGAGATAAGTTCAGGCAAGAAATTATAAATACTCTGAAGGGAAAAAAGCTATGTGTTCATTTTGATGGAAAAAGGATAAAACAGATTGAAGAAGATCTAAAAATAACTGTTTCTGTAGAAAGAATAGCGGTTAGTGTTACTTCCCCTGATATGGAAGTAACACTAACCGCTATTCTGAACAACACCTGCTAGGTGTTGTTCAGACACCAAGTTCTAAAGGTAATGACCAGGCTGAAGCAATTTTGAATTTGCTAGAATACTATGACATTGTAGATCAAATATTTTCTGTTTGCTGTGACACGACTGCATCCAATACTGGAATACACTCCGGAGCTGTTGTTATCCTTAGTTCCATTCTTAATATTCCACTTATATGGTTTCTCTGTAGATGACATATGCTAGAAATACACATCTCACACTTTATGAAGGCTTTGACTGGAGAGAAGACGAAGGGCCCAAGAAAAGGGCTGTATGTGAAACTCCAGAATAATTGGTGTTTTTTCAAAAAAGAAGTTGACAAGATGATAGATCTAGTTAGGCTTGATTGGAGTCAGCTTCAGGTTGACTCACCTCTTTATGAAATTCCTAAGAAAGCTCTGGAGTTTGGAAAAGAGGCCTCTTGCCTCAAAAACTTTTGTGAGGAATGATTACAGGAAACTATGCGAGCTTTTTGTTTTCTATTTGGGAGGAGAAGCACCTGTACTGTGTTTTCATCAACCTGGAGCCTGCCATGAAGCTAGGTACAGTATATTAAAAGAAAAAAAGTTAAGTATAATAAATAACATATAAATAAAAGAATATAATAAATAAATATTATTGGTGACAAAATCTTACTCTTTAGGTTTATGGCTGATGCTTTATACATTCTTACCCTGAGAATAACCGATAAGGTTATTCTCAGGGTAAGAATGTATATAGGACTATATATCTGTATATCAGGACTTTGTAGGTGGATATAAATCTGACAATATGCAACAAAAATTAATGCTAGTGGCCAGGGACAATAGGAAGAAGCTTAAAAAAGATCTTTCCAAGTCCCAGTTAAAAAATATATAACTTATTATTCTTGAAATATACATTTTTTGACACACTTTAGTATTTTTATTAGGAAAATGTGTAAAATTTTGGTTTTTAACAAAAACTGGAATTTTACATATTGCTGAAATTGTGGTCTGACAATGTTTTTTTTATATATTTGCAATCAGGGGACACTAGAGAATGGGAAAAAATTGCGTGCACATAGAAATTATAAAAAAAATATAAATTTGGGACACCCTAATATATATATATATATATATATATATATATATATATATATATTATATATATATATATATATATATATACACACGCGGAATAAAATTTTTAGTCATTTTTGCCTTAAAGTAAAAAGCAAACATTTGCGCATAGTATAGTCATTATTTATATAAGTAACTTTTATAACATACCTTGAAAGTACAACCAAGCACTTGCAAACCTTTACTGTATCGCGATAGTTTAAATATTCTAAACACGCGTAAAATACGCAACACTCGAAAAATAGAAAGACTTGCTACGTTACTGTTACTGGAATGTAAAAAGGCTGTAATATAAAATGGTAGTATCGAAACAATATCAATAACGTTTAATGGTTGACGCAAAAACACAACTTTTTTTGGCGATGCTAACAATCTGATCAAATACTCTATTGTAAACCACATAATGCACCCACATTCAACGATATAAAAAGAAGACTCAAATTCAGCCTTTGTTTGGAAACTTGATAGAGAGGATATATTTGTTAAATTATTAAATGTATACACAGCTTGTTTAAACTCGGGTAAAGTTTCTATGCAAAACATAGCAATTGACAACAAAATAACAGACATAGAAAACAAAGAAATCAGACGGGCTCCTAACGATGTTTCTGGTGCTTCAAAGAACTGCCAAATATATTTGAGGTATTTGTTAGTTGGCAACAAGCTGTTTTCTGATTCATCTCTTACTGGAGGTATATGAGCTTCGCTTTCGGATTCAAACCCAAAATATCTAAGCTCTGCAGCGAAAATTCTATCATCTAAACTCGGAGGTTTTACAAGCAACCCTGTTTGGCAGTAAGTTAAAATAGCACCAAACGCTTTTCTATTTCTATCAAAGAAGTATTCACCATTCAAACTGTCAAAAAAGAGCTCTCGTTGAGGCAAAGCAAGCAACGTTCCGGGATATTTAGCTAACGTACTCTCGTAGGTTTCATACTTTTTTCCAGATACATTCACACAAACGCGATGTTTTTCGATGTTACAATCCGTCTTAATTGGATTTAGAATAAAAATATTTGAAACTGGCATTTAAATACTTGGCTTATGAATTGTGATTGTTCATTCGTCAGATTTTACGCAAAAAATTATAAACAATTTTCTTATGATCGTGATTTAAAACGGATATTGATTTTTTTTTTGAAGCGTTGTTAAGTCTTTGCTTTCTGCTTAAACAAGCTGTTAACTAATTTAATAACTATACGAACTTTTTTTTTTGTTGAGTTTATAGGAGTTAAGCGGCAAAACATTCCGTTTATTTATATATTAAAACGAAGTCACGAAGTTACAAAATGTTATTGGTATGAAGTCACAAAAGAAATGGTTGTTGCTGTGAAACGGAAGAAAAATTCTACTGTGAAATTTCCCTACGATTTTACTAAGCTTTTTAAAAGTAAGCCAGCTATGTAGCTTTAACAATAGGGCGAATAATCCGTCTAGAATTACTTATTTTTATGTCTATTGTACATTATTAAGCTCTTTAATAAAAAGAAGAGCGTGTGCTTTTTTTAATGAAATGTTTTTGGAAACAGTGTTCTTTTTGTATAATAATATCCTCAAAAAGTTGTTTTAAAATTAGTTTTTGTTCCCTTGAAGCGCCTTCCGTAGTTCTATCAAAAAAATTTATATTTTAAATCAAAATTTAAATCATCAATCTGTACACTATAATCAATCTACTGGACATAGTATACAGAAGAATGTTGGGCGACGTTTTAAACTTAATTTATTAAGTTAAAAAAAAGTTTTTGTTTATTTTGTTAAACACCTCGTTAAATCTATTGGATTTTAAATTCTAAATGTGTATTATATTTAAAAAAATTAAAAAAAAAAATTATGCATTTTTTCCGATTGTGTTTCGCATTTTTATTGTTTTGTTAATGTTTTTGCATAGTTCGTGTGAAGATTTACTTGATTACCAGACATGTGTTATACAGTTTTGTACTTTTCACATATAAATCTATTTTTTAATTTGTTTTTGAAGAATTCGGATTTTTTTCATCATTTTTTAAAATACAAGTTTATTTGAGGTGCGTATTGCAGGTTTTTATTAACTTTGCAGCATCTGACACTTTTGAACTTAGAATTAAAACGTTGTCAGCGATAGCTGTGAGCTTAAAGTACGCACTGTAAAACTTACAGTACGCACAAACATATTCAGTACACACAGACGTAATAATGCTATCAATTTAAGTACAACCTTTTTAGAAACTATTGGTTCTAAAAAGGTTGTACTTAGCCAGAACTTCAGCCACCGCGCCATGGTCGCTATTACAATAAATGCTTTATTTCATGTTACTGTGTATTACAAAATAAATCCTGTATCCTATATACAAATGCGATTAATAATGGCGTAAATTTAATGTATATAAGTTATCATTAAATAAAGAAAAACCACCTTAACTCGAACTAATATCTCGTATCAACCAAAATTCAACTTAACGGAAATTCGTAAACACAAATATATATAATATATAGTATATATATATATATATTAAATATATATATATATATATATATGTATATATATATATATATATATATATATATATATATATATATATATATATATATATATTTATATATATATATATATATATATATATATATATATATATATATATATATATATATATATATATATATATATGTATATGGTAGATTAGGGTAAAATGAGCACCTTGGTAATATGAGCTTACTTAAAGGTTTCTTAGATGTAAACAGTGAAGTTAATGTTACTTATTATTTTCTAATCCATTTTATGAGGTGATAACAGGAATCAGTACAATTAGCGTAAATTTTTATATAATTTCGCTGCATTTGAGTACCAGGTTGACATATTTTTGAAAAACGTTTATTTTGAAAATATTAGGGACCCATTAAATATTCGAGGGTCTTGAGGGTCCCCTTAAAATATTTTTTATTTAAAAAAATTTTAAACTCAGTGTTTTTGTATTAGATAGAATACATTTAGGGGGTGGGAGCAGGTTTTTCTCAGAAAAGTTGTTTTAAGGACCACTCTAATATATATATATATATATATATATATATATATATATATATATATATATATATATATATATATATATATATATATATATATATATATATATATATATATATATATATACATAATTATATATAGAGCCGCCGAGAGGAAATGGGCAAAGGAGCGCCAAGATAATAGGGGCGCCGAAAAATAATAAAACAAATTTTTTTCAAATGTTTATACAATGTTTAACTATTAATTTCGATGCTTTGTGATTAAATGTGATGTTTTATATCATAGTTTCATTAAATAAATTAGATGTTTAATTAATTTACAATGGCACCTTTCATGTTTACGGATTATTATGTTTAGTGCAGTGAGTTTTCTTTTAGAGAGAACATTTTTTGTATATATGTAAAATATGAAAGTGACGGAGTATTACATTTTGGTATACAATTTTACGAAAGTATTAAAGTGCATATTTCAATGTCACTCTATGCAGTTCCATCTCAAATGGCAAACCTGCTTGTTTAAAAGTGAAAAGCGAAAAGAAAAAAGAAAAAAAAAAAGGATAAATTAAAAAGTTATTTTAAAGATATAAAAATTAAAAAAAGTAAAAGTAAAACAAGGTTAAAATATATTAATAAGTAAATGCGAAATCAAGTTAAGTCTTTGATAAATTTTTATAAATCCTTTGAGACTGTTGTGCTTCTGACCTTTTGATATAAAATTCTTCAAGTAGTAGATTAATTAAGCCGTTTTTCCAGGCAACTTCACTAACAATAGATAACAAAGTTATTCTAATTCAACAGTTATTTAGCAATCTTGGCCGCATCCGCTCATCATGGAATAATATTTTGACTAAAGCAAAAGCTGTTGCAGGTCCTCTAGGCTTTGAAACGGAATTTTTGGCAAAACGAAAGAAAAGAGTAAAACGGTATCACAATGAACTTGAAAATGCAGCTTTTTGATAGCAGAGCCCCAAGCATCAATTTGAGGAAATATCTTTTACGTCGCTCTTGATCATTTTATTTATCAAATTCAGTCGAGATTTGACATAGTAAAGAGCGTTTCTTTAAGGTTTTTCAATTCATCTGGCTGAAAGACCAGGAACCAGATTATCAAGAGATCAAAACTCGTCAAAGAAGACGACTTCATACAAAAAATTTTTCCATCTTAATTGTTTGAAGGAGTCTTCGTGTTTTTTTTCTAGAAACTCATTAAGCCTTTTTAGCCAAATACTTTCAAAGAGTCTGCAGCCTTTTTTTCCATACGTATGCATCTTAATTCGAATTTTTAATACAATGCCAGTATCTTTTGCAGAGGGTGAACGATCCTTTAGTTAACTAAAATCAATAAAGAATTATTGTAGGACCACTTTGGGACAAGAACGTCTTTCATCTCATGATGTTTTCAGTGAAAAATAAGTTGGCTAAGACTTTTTCATATGATGATACAATAATAAATTTTGCCGGTAAAAATGCAAGAAAAGAGTGTTAAAAAAGTAAAACAAGGTTAAAATATATTAATAAGTAAATGCGAAATCAAGTTAAGTCTTTGATAAATTTTTATAAATCCTTTGAGACTGTTGTGCTTCTGACCTTTTGATATAAAATTCTTCAAGTAGTAGATTAATTAAGCCGTTTTTCCAGGCAACTTCACTAACAATAGATAACAAAGTTATTCTAATTCAACAGTTATTTAGCAATCTTGGCCGCATCCGCTCATCATGGAATAATATTTTGACTAAAGCAAAAGCTGTTGCAGGTCCTCTAGGCTTTGAAACGGAATTTTTGGCAAAACGAAAGAAAAGAGTAAAACGGTATCACAATGAACTTTTTTTCTAGAAACTCATTAAGCCTTTTTAGCCAAATACTTTCAAAGAGTCTGCAGCCTTTTTTTCCATACGTATGCATCTTAATTCGAATTTTTAATACAATGCCAGTATCTTTTGCAGAGGGTGAACGATCCTTTAGTTAACTAAAATCAATAAAGAATTATTGTAGGACCACTTTGGGACAAGAACGTCTTTCATCTCATGATGTTTTCAGTGAAAAATAAGTTGGCTAAGACTTTTTCATATGATGATACAATAATAAATTTTGCCGGTAAAAATGCAAGAAAAGAGTGTTTTATGTAAGCCGTTTATTGTTATTTTAATTTATAAAGAATGTCTAATGATGCACTTTATGTTGTAATCGCGTTGCTTAGTTGTATATTTTAAAGACGCATTTTTTGAAAATTTTACCGTAAAATGATTTTAACAGAAATAAACCACAATTTTAAAAATTTATTTTAAAACCGTGTACAGTCATATATATGCATGAATGAATTCGATAGTTTTTTTTTAAAAAATTATGTATGCTTAAAAGGACGCCTGCTCAACGCTATGTCCCGGGCGCCACAAAAGCTCTCGGCGACCCTGTATATATATATATATATATATATATATATATACATGTATATAGGGTGTCTGCCGGGTCAGAAAATTCAGACTTCTGTAAAAAATTCAGGGAAAATAGCTCTGTGCAAACTCACGCGACATGTGAGTTGAATATCATACACATGACATGTGAGGTATATCATGTTCGTAATGCAAAAATTCATTAAGCAGATTTTTCTCTTTTACTGATCCTTTAAACGTAGGTTGTATTAGTATTTATATATTTGCAATTAAAAGCATTTTTCTAAATGTTGAGCTTTTGTAGCTTTAAATTAAATCAAGGAACACAAGTAAAAAACTATGGAAATCAATTCTAAAATATCCGCAGATATTTTGTAATGGACGGACCACCAAGTTTTTAATGCGGTCCGGTTTTATCATTTATAATGTTAACTAACTTTTTTTGATTGCAGTATGGCTGAAACAGTAAATGAAATAGCAAAATTATCAGAAAGAGAAATAAATTTCTTATTAGATGAGCCTTCAATTAATCCTGAACTGTCCAGTCTTCTTGAAAACTCAAACAACTTGCTAAAGAATCGGCATAATATCAACATTGCATTTAAAAAAAGTAAAAAAAAAAACACATTTGTGAATGTAAACAAAAGACTGCCCGAGCAAATATATATATATATATATATATATATATATATATATATATATATATATATATATATATATATATATATATATATATATATATATATATATATAGATAGATAGATAGACATAGATATAAATAAAAGATATATAGGTATAGAGATATAGAGATATATAGATATAGAGATATA